GGGTTACGCGGGTAGTCTTTGGTTCCATTTACCAAGGTGCCATGTTGGTCCCACTTGTTTGAGCCACAGCCATATGTTCCTTTTGGCTTCAAAGTTTGCCCTGATGTAAAACCACCCCAAAATATGGTTGTCCTTTTTGCTTCCTCCTGTTCCCCTTAAAAACCAGCCCAAAGGGGGTGGTCTCACACGAAGATTCACCCATAATTGTTCCTTAAACATCACAAGAGGAAACTCATCAAGTGACTAAAGTTGTGGATGTTTCAAAGGGTTGAAGAGGAAAACCTCGGGACACCTACCCTCATTGACCTACAAGGGGCTCTGGGGAGGGAGGCTATCCCCTGGCCCTCCCTTCCAGGGAAACCACCGAGCTTGCAAAAATGCTCACGACCTGTCAGTTTATTGGAGAGGGACAACTTGGCCACTAGAACAGGGACCCCACCCTAATTCGATGACTTGATGAATGTCAAAGGGACCCCTTGCGAGAAAGAGAAAGGGGGAAAAAAACGTGGTTCAAAGGGAAAATGATCATCTTAAACCTTCAAGGCAAGTCCTAAAAATAGGCTAAGTCTGGCAATCACCGTTGGCTTCCCTTCAGAGTGAACCAAATAGGGCCTGGTCCCTCACTGGACCTGACACCTGCAACGTGGAATCCATTCTTGTACTTCTCAGGTTTCGGCCAAGACACGCTGCCCCACCCACCCCCCAGCTACTTCAGCTTTGCCCCCAAAAAATCGGATGCAAAGCTCCTTATGTGAACTTTTTGCAAATGGCCAACGCCTTTTTGGTTCGTATTTCAAGGCCATGTGAACCTTCGTCAGTGAACTGATGTCATAGAGGTCCACCCAAAAAGGGGCCCGTCCGGCGCCCATCCAAAAACAGCCCAAACAGAATGAATGCCAGGAGCAGCACATTTCTCACTTCTCTTGTGCTCATGGCTTCATTTGGTCATGCCACCTCGGTTGCTTTCTGCTCCCCTGCTAAAAGTTGAGAACTGTTAGTGGTTTACTGGAAAACCCGCTAGTTGGCAAAAAGCTAAAGTCCTAACATCCAAGCAAAAAGCACCAAAGCCAATCTCGTTTCGACCCTTGAACCTACCGGGGGCCTTTTGGGGCGCGGGGGGGAGCTTGACGCTTAACGCTGGCCTCCTGAAAGTTCACAACCGCGTTGTCCTGCGACAAGAAGTGACACGGCGTCGTCGGTTGCTTTCCGAAGCCAAAGAGAAGACGCGCGTCTGGAAAAAGCCCTGTTGCAAGAAAAATATGCAACAAATAATCCCAATCATATTCAATTTCATGTACACAACCATTAATAGCAACATATTGAGTCCTGTTGCAACCCATGACCCTGGCAGGGCGCCCTGGAAGCCCCCGAACCAAAAGGCAACCAGTCTTCCCGGTTTCGTCACTTTTGCAAGTCCAGGATTCTCCTGCGGTTGCTGGAAAAAACGCAAAAGTTGGAACAGCAAGCGGGAAGTGCAACTGAGTGACGATCCGGCGGGGAAACAAGAAGCGAACTTGCTCGCCATCCAAACGAGGAAACTTGGTTCCAAACATATCAAAGTTTGGCGACTCAAAAACCCGTGATCCGGCAAGCACCCAACGGGTTGCCAGACCCCCGATTTCGATCCACCCCAAGGGTTTGTTGATACTGGATATGCATGAATCATGGTCTCTACAGGGACCCTTGGACCGGACGAAAATCAGAGGGAACGGATCAACGTCGAGTTTCCGTGGGGCCTAAAATTGGCACATGCCTCTTAAAGGGGCTTCTTAGGACACAGCCATTTTGCAGTGACTCGTCGGAGGTTGGCAAGATACATCTTCTAACATGAATGTGACAAGCTTGGTCGGGATCCAGCAAGATCACTGAAGTTCGAACAAAATTCAGGGAAAAATCCACAACATCCGCGCCGGCCGCAAAAGGTCCACTTCACCCCACCTCAATTGCACCAGGTCGGTCCAGCTATGCCAAATACATTCAACCGCTGGCAAATACCTGTTCAAGAGGTCCCAAAGGGTGCAGAAGGGTATCAGTAAGATATCAGTCCTCGGTCTTGGTCTCCGTGTCGATCTCCTCCTTCGTGTCATCCTTGATTTCGGACAGCATGCCCATCACCTAAGCACGAGGCGCAAGGGACCTGCCGTTCCCTTCCCGGAAAAAAAAGGATGCCCTTCTCTGCCAAGCTTAAGCAGAACTCATCGTTGACATGTATGTGGCCTTTCCTTCGCAAACAACTAGCATTCTGGACAAAACATACACACCAGGGAACTCAAGAGGTGAGGTGAACAGAAAATCCAGTGTTGCTGCAATTTAGCGAAGGGGCAATGACCCAGACACCGGAGAATTTCAAAATGTCCGGGAAAACTGGGGAAATTTCAGGGAAACCTCAAGGAAACCTCGGGAAAAGCGATGGTTTCGGTGTAGAAAAGAGCCCCTGTCAAGAAGCCAGGCTCGGAGCGACTCAAAGGACTCAGCCCCCAGCGTAGCCGGGGTCGGCAGTGCCTGGCTGACCCGGCTGTGGCCATACATTCAAAAGACCAAAGAGCAATGGATCCTCTGTTTCGTGCATATGCTCAATCATGTAAATGAGTACAGCCACATATGTACTACATATTGTATAAATACACTGTGTACGCTGATAAAGTTTGTTGTAATATGCATTGCAAAATTATATGTATATGTTTTATACAACTATATAATATAATTAATCACCTTTGTGCTGTGCTGTCGTGCAGTTCATGCAGGCTCCTTTGCACCAGTGGGATATCCCAAGAAGTGAACCACATATCACTTAAACAACCCTTGCTGGGCGGACACCCGCCTTGAAGGGGAGCGGGGTGCGGGGGTCTCCCAATTCCATGGATCTGTCTTGCCCACAAAGACAGAAATCCCACTGCTGCACCCTCCCCGAATTTCATTTGGGAGCAGGCATGGTTTCTGTGAGCCTCCGTTGCTTCAAGCAACGGAGAACGTCACCCAGAGTAAACAGCGGTCGAAGCCGGATCCAGACGCGTCCAATCTGCACCAGCTCTTGGCCCAAAGTCCCCACAGGACTTGACAGTGCACATCCCTCCCACAGGCCGATATTTCAATTAAGCTCCCCACTCCCACAGGCTGCGTGTGGGGGGTGCCGAGGGGGAGACAAGAGAAATTCACCCAGGTGGCGTTGTCAAACCAACTCGTCAAAAGGAAGCCCAGACCTCATAAAAGCGGAGACATCTGCCATTGTTTCCCTCAAACGGGTTTCTTGGCTTCCTAAATGGATTAGTGTAATACCAGAAGTCAGGCGCATGATCCATCCGCATGACAACGTTGCCACTTTAAAGGGGGGTCTTTGGGTATCACAGACAATGGCAACAAAACCCCAGTCCAGACCATTTGGAGTCTTGGTCGTTCAGGGAACCCGCCCAAAAGCAAACCATCTGCAAGACATCTGTGAGTCAAAGCTGCTTCTGTGGGCCATGCTCATGGCCTGAACCTTCTCCTGCCTGTCTGATCTCACAAAAGGGCTCATGACCATTCTCAAGAACCAATGGCTCTTTCACCATGGAACGTCGCATCCCATCTGTGAATTACAAGTGAAATACGAAACTATATCAATCCGCCAACCCGACCAACACAAGGACAACCCTGGGCACTTGCAGACTCGAGTTGGCAGACTTTGAATGGCTTCTACCCTTGGGTGCACAGCGATTGGAACGCATCTTCACTGGTCCCCGCCTCAAAGTGTCGATATTCCACAACCTGACCCCCACCAAAGCAAAAGAATCTGACCCTCCCCCCCCCCGCGCACCGTGGTTGGCCAAGAAGGCGACGACCTTCTGCTTGGCGTCCGTGGTGAGGCGCTGGTTCTCGGTAACGAGACATGCAAAACCGGAGAAAGGGCCGGCGATGGCATGACATGGCTATGGGAGGGAATATGCCGTTAAGGCCGTGAACATAAGCATCACCCACGAAAAGGAAAATCAGCCACAATGGGTCCCAAAAGTGATGCACAAACTGGCTTCAAAGGAAATAACATAGGAACCCTTGTGGTACAGCCGAAACGGCTAGAATGATGTGTGGACCGAAGTATGTCATGATTCATGACGATGGGACGACGAGGACCATTGCTCAGCCCAGGAGTGGCAATGTTTGATTCTGGTAGTCCATGTCCCATTCAGAGATCTGCCACTCGAGAACCCAGATTTAGCAGAATCCCTACTTCATTTTCCTCAAGACCAAGGTAATTTGAAAGCACAACCGAAAATCCTAGCGAAATAAATGAAGCAAACAAATACAACAAGAATCATTCAGACAAGAAACAAACCCAAAAACCGAGACACAAAACTAATGCCAGGGGCGCCAAACATGGAAAATAGCACTCGTGTCTGCTGTCTTCTTTGAGCACGCCAGCTGGCATCCCTGATCTGTAGCCTTCACAAACACTACCTGAATGAATTGCAATAGCTCATCGACCCATATTCAAGGTTCCCGTGCAAGAAAGCTTCATCATGCGTGAGCTCACAAACCCATTTGTTAGCTGCAAATTCCCCCAGAGTTACCCCTATTGTGCCGATGCTTGCACATATGTCGGAAGATACACACCCAGTTGCAGTTGAACACCAAATTGCTCATTCAGGCGAGCATAATTACCATCACCAGTGCCCATTTGTTCTGCCATTTGCGGGCTGTCGCTGAGCATATTTCCTTCGTACTCGTGTTTCCACCTCAGCTTTTGCCGAGCAAAACACGCGGCTTTTAGCTTCCAGCACACATCTCAGGTTAAGTCGCCTGAAAATATCACAAAACTTATGTTCAGCTGCCCAAAGGACCCGGAAATAAAAGGTTAGGCTTTTGGGCCCATGACTAACGATGGAGCAAAAGGGGAAATCACTGGTCAAAAGTTCAGCTGGCTGTGGGTCAAAAATGGGTACCAAAAATGGAACCCTGGTAAATGGAACCCAGGACGAAAATCTGGGGTCTCCTGGTGGTTTAATTTTGACCCACACCCAGCTTTGGGCAAGTGAGGCAAGTGAGAATGTCGTGTGAGAGTTCCCAGACGCAAGACGCTCGCGGCTTTTCGGAGAATCACCCATCCGAGCGGTGGTTCAGGCGAGTGAGAAGCTGCTCGTGGCTGCGCGCAATGCACAACCTGTGGGCTCAGGACGGGTCTTCGGATCTTTGATCTGGGTGGTTTGGGGGCTATTCCCCACATAAACCACCATTTGGGGTGAGGTCGTGTGAGGTCCTTATAATTCACCCAGGTTGATCATACTGAGTTCGGTTCGTTTGCAAGGCTCTCGAGGTTTTTGGTTCTCCAGGAAACGTTCTCCTTGATCCTTCTCGTCTCTACGACTCCATCGGCGATGTTTTGAGGCCCTTTTTCACCTTTGATGACTTGCCCTTCTCGCAGTGGCAGCAAAGGTCAACTCCCAGGGGCCCAAAGCTTTTCGGGTTGAACCCACCCAGGGGTCCAAAGGTCTACTCCCAGGGGTCCATGGCATAAATTGCAGGGAACCCACCCAGAGGATTAGGAGATTTTAGAGGGAACCCACTGGACCCGACCCGCGAGCGTTCGGGGCCCCACCAGAGCTGCCCGTGTGAGGCTCGGTGCGAAATTCACAAACGACCAGGCAACACGTCTGCAGGGTTCAGTTGCAAGTTTGCATGCGGGATAAAACATGGAATAGATGTTCTCCACCCCTCAATTGTTGTTGTTGGTTGATTTGTTGTTTTCCGCTGAAAGGAACTTCATGGGTGAGGTCGCCAAGATCGCGATAGTTTACCCAGAAACATGGGTTCATATATTCAACCTCTGAGCGGAATCCCTTCTGCAAAGTTTGACAGAAGGAACCCCAAGACGGTGCCGTTCTCAAAAGGAGCTCCCACGCTCAAACCGTTATTGCCGAAAGGATCTTCCGGCATTTTGTTGGTTCCATCTCTCAACCCGAGGAGAGCATACACTGCAACAAACGGAGGGACCCTCCCATCTCTGGCCGAGGAAATGTATCAGAGAAAAGGCGAAGGAAGGAAAAAAAAAGGAAGGAAGGAAGGAAGGAAGGAAGGAAGGAAGGAAGGAAGGAAGGAAGGAAGGAAGGAAGGAAGGAAGAAAAGAAAAGAAGAAAAAAAAGGAAGAAAGAGAGAGACACAGACACAGACACAGACACAGACAGAGACACAGACAGAGACAGAGACAGAGACAGAGACAGAGACAGAGAGAGAGAGAAAGAAAGAGAAAGAAGAAAAAAAAGAGGAAGAGAGAGACTTGTCCCTTTGACTTCTGCGGCTCTTGGGCAGGGTTGTGAGCGGGCCATACTTTCATTTGGTGCACCCACGCTGCCAAGGTGTTTGAAGGCCTTCAAGCTCCCTTCGACCACAAAACCCCTGACACACATGTCCAACAGCACCTGCTTTGCTCATCCTGGGAAACTGGGGAAGCTGCTTACTGCCAAAGCCAGTTTTCTGCCTTTTGAACACCATCCAAGAGGAACACCGTCCAGCGGCCCAAATTTTAGGCGACACCTTCAGCAGGGGAACGCCCTTAACAAATAGCTGGTGGACATACAGAAAAATCCCAGGAAAATGGTGTAAAGGGTCTCTCGTTCTTTTCAAACAGCTGCTTGGGCTTTTGGCTGGGTTCCTGAAAAAAATCGTACCCCTGGAAAGAAAGGAGACTAGGTCCTGTAGAGAGGTTAGAATGAGGGCACCCTTTCTTCTGTAGTCTATTTCAGTAGGGGAACCCTCCCCCCAAAAAGAAACAGTAAAAGGGCACTACTGCGGGACCTAGCGTCCCCTAGCCTGCGTCCCATGGTCACTCCCCACCGAACCCCCGCGGCGAAAAATCGACGAACGAGGCCGCGCCCGAAGCTGCACACCGCCGCCAGCCAGCGCCGCGAGAGGAAGCTCTGCCACCAGGGCAGGTCCTCGAAAACGCGTGCTGAAATTCCCGACCGGGCCGGTCTTTTTTCGGGGGACCTGTCTTGGCGGTGTTGAAGGGAAACCAAAGAGTTCACTACCATCTTGGGGCGCCCCCACAAAAAAAGACACACCACCCTTGGCACTCCCATCCGACATGGAAGTGCATGCAACCCCCGTAGAACAGGACCCTTTCCGCTCGGAAAGGCTCCTGACTTCCATATTTGGGTGGGAGGGTATCAAAGGTCTTCTGGATCCTGACCCCGAACTCGAAACCCCATATTGATCAGCCCCATTTTACTAATATGGGGGTGTCCCTGGGTTTAGTGGGGAATCGGACTACTTGTTGAAGGGCCCTCACCCCCACTATGAATAAACTGGTTGGCTCATGAAAAACGGAGCAAAAACGCTACGGATCTCCCTTGCAATGCATCTTAGGGGATGGGGACATCAACCATTTGTGTGCAGTCCACTAGCAAATTGTGGGAAAAGATTCTTCCAAGAACAGGCAAAACCACTGGGAACACCTTCATGCGGTGGGCATCCCTTTAGCTTTTTTTACATATTCCAGAAGGGGGGGTGCACGAATCAGCTTTATTCCTTCCAATAGCCTTTGTTCAATTATGAACGTCGCTAAACCCTTCCCATCATCCAGCCCTCACAAATTGCTACTTGACGGACCTCAACGTATTGCCCCAAACACAAAAATCCTGCCACCTGGGCAAGTTCGCTTTTATCCCCAGATCAGGTTGCCATGGTGCATATGCATCCCTGCCAGAATGGCTCTTCTGTCAGATAGCTATGCTAAACAGTGCGCTAGGGTGGATGGAACTCTCCTGAAAAGTGACAAAAGAAACCAAACAAGTCCCATCATTGATACATGCTGAGTTGCAAAATCGTTGCAAATTGTGTGGGTGCAATGAATTGAAGGGAAGCTCAATCAAGGATTATCAAAGCATTCAGCAAAATCAGGAAAGCGGAATACGCTCCGCTCAAAATGAGTATGGCTGCGGCATATAGCCTCAATGCAAGGTGCCATGATGCGTCTGGCACCATGGTAGCATAAGGGGACCCTGCCTGGGGTAATTGCTCGTGATCAACAGAAAAAAAACAGCACAAACTGCATGGGCTCACGCCGTGCTTCTATTTGTGCACGGTTCGCATGGCCTGACTTCTACTTCGAAATGATAGACATGCTGTCGTCAGAATTGCGTTAGTATGGGAAAGCTGATGATGGTGACTCGCGACACGCTCAAACAAAAAACTGACAACAACCAAACAAACAAGCACACACACAAACACAAACAAACAAACAAACAAACAAACAAACAAACAAACAAACAAACAAACACACACACAAACACACACACACACACACACACACACACACACACACACACACACACACACACACACACACACACACACACACACACACACCCACGCAGGCACGCAGGCACGCAGGCACGCAGGCACGCAGGCACGCAGGCACGCAGGCACCCACGCAAACAAAGAAACCAAAACACACAAACCCAAACAACACAACACAACGCAACACAAAACAAACAAACAAACAAACAAACAAACAAACAAAACAAACAAAACAAACAAAACAAACAAAACAAACAAACAAACAAACAAACAAACACAAACAAACAAACAAACAAACAAACAAACAAACAAACAAACAAACAAACAAACAAACAAACAAACAAACAAACAAACAAACAAACAAACAAACAAACAAACAAACAAACAAACAAACAAACAAACAAACAAACAAACAAACAACAAACAAACAAACAAACAAACAAACAAACAAACAAACAAACAAACAAACAAACAAACAAACAAACAAAACAACAAACAAACAAAGCAACAAACAAACAAACTGCACAAAACAACAACACAACACAACATAGCACAAACAAGAGAACAAACAAGCAAGCAAGCAGGAAACAACAAACCAAGATGTCAGATACTGGCAAACACGTGCCGACATCTCACGAAACCGAAACTGCGGGCCGAGCAGCAATTTCCCAGTGCACCAAATCCTCTCGCAGCCAGCCCGGCACGAGCTTCCTCGCGCGTGGGGCTGCGTCTGTGAACATGCGTCTGCGTGTGTCTCAGTTTACCCTTTTTAGGGTGGTTTACAAGGAAGTTTACCATTTGTTTGTTTTCTTCTTTTTTTTCAAGAAGACATGCAAATCATCGAAACTCAACCAGAAACCAGGACTCCATAGGGAGCTTTGTGGGTAAGTTCGCTTTAGCTGGGTATGCGTTTGACAGCTGTTCCTTTAAAGTAAATGGAAGCTCAGGCATAGGTTTTCCTTGAGAGTGGGTCAAAGCATGGTGAAAGCAGGGAAACCTTGGTTGCAACCTTGTCCAAACATCCGCAATCATCCTTGCTTAAACCCATCGAACTGTTTCAATTCTCGGAGATGTGTCTTTGCTAACTGTTTTAGCCACCCTCGCACTTCGCCTAGCCAATTTTGAGCCCAGCCCTGTCCTTGAGAAGTAGGAGAAGTGCGCATGGAGCCACAGCCTGAGTCTTCAACTGAGCCGCACTCGCGTGGCAAATGCGTATGCAAAAAATAGGGAAGTGCCCAATAAATGGTGTCCTCGTGGTTAAACCCAAAAAAAGCGGCCAGAGCAGCGGCCTCAAAAAACAGAGCCAAATTGGGTGGCTCCCCCATTTCACCTCAAAGGATGTGAAATGCTGCCTGAACAAATGCGAACCAGTGGTAGTATCAGCATTGTCGGCCCTTGCTCGGCCTTGGCTCAAATGTAAAAGTATCATCATGTTGACAACCCAGCCCCCAGTGTGCAAATGTTGCCAGCCCAGGCTGCACCCTATGCTCCTTTCCTTTTCAAAGTCCAAAGTTGTCCAAAATCAACTAGCCAAACGTGCCGCCTCAATCAAGAGCAAAACAAAAGGGGACAAATCCTTTGTTGGTTCCCCCCCCCTCCGTGATGTGAACGTCGAATTGCTCTGCAGGATCACATTACTCTCCGGCTGAGATAGGCCTCCATGCTTCATCAAGAGCAAAACAAAAGGGGAAAGGTCCTTTATTGGGTTCCCCCCCCCCTCCGTGATGTGAACGTCGAATTGCTCTGCAGGATCACATTACCCTCCGGCTATCTGAGGGAGGACATATTCTCCCAACACCCCAAGGTTCCACAGCGTTGCTCAGCCCCTGGACTTTGGAAGACTGTTTGGAATGCCCATTCCGAGGGTAGACAACAGTTTGGATTTGTTGAGCCCATCCCCTCAGGAAGTGTGGTTCAAAATATGTTACCCCGGGTGACTTTAAACATTGCATGGCGGCTGCCAATCAAAATGGGTTTCCTTCTGGTGAGGATGTTAAAAGGGTTTGGATGTCCAGTGGAATCCCGAAGTTTGGGTGCCTGAGGCGGGCACCGCGAAGCGTTTACAAGTACTCCTCATTGCCAGCAATGTCATGAAGGATGATTGGGCGAAATGTCCAACGCATGTCAAGCAAGTGTTTGGCCATTTGCCTACAGCATTGGCCCGCGGTTCTGTGCTGCAAGCATCGGTTTCGTTCTGTGAAAACAGTGCCTGGCCGCCATTTTTCTGAGCTCCGCAGAGGCCTGGTTCGAGGGGGGGCCGGGTTCGTCGTGCTGTGGTGCTTGGTCGGTGAACGGAATTGCCCCCCCATCTCCCACCCCCCAACCCCAAAAGAGAAAGGTCTCTTTAGGCTGAACAAACGTGTTGACTGGCGGTGGATTGAGGGTCTCTCCTATTTTGACGCACACCCACACTGGGGTGGTCAAAACCTCGCTTCGACCCTTCGACCGTTCCACCGCGTTGCATGGACCACTCGCCGAGGAAGAGGAGCAACAGCAGCAGCGCCACCTCGCCCGAAAGAGGAAATGCGGAGTGACGTTGATCCCAACATGGCCATGGGTCAAAATCCATGACCCGTACCCCCAGTGAACGGGACCCACTCCCCACCAAAATAGGTTCTAAAATGGGTGGTGAATTCACCTACCAACCAAAATGGGATCCCATTGGTTTTGACCAGCCACATCTTCCCCAAACTGGGTGGTTGAAAATAGCGGATACCCCAATCCTGATCCGTTTCCTCTTAAACGCACAGCCTGAAGGTTTCTAAAGGGTTTCTTCAGGGCGGGTTAGGGTGGGTTTTGCTGTGGGTAGGGTTGGAATAGGGTAGCTTTAGGGTGGTTTGGGGATGAGTGGGTTTCGGGTGTTTTAGGATGAGTTTGGGGGCCTAAGGTGCGTTCAGGGTTGGTTCAGGGTTGGTTTCGGGTTTGCTCACCGTTGGTTTAGGGTTTGTTTGGGGCTGGCTTAGGGTGGGGGGCTGGTTTAGGGTGGGTTTAGGGTTGGCTTAGAGTTGTTTGGGGATGGTTTGGTGCTGGTTTAGAGTGAGTCTACAGTTGGTTTGGGTTTGGTTTGGGGTGCATAAAGGGTCGGTATAGGGTTTGCTGAGTTTGGTTTAGTGCTAGTCTGATGTGGGTTTGGGCTGGTTTAGGGTGGGTTTCGGGTAGGTATAGTGCTACTTTGGGGTGCATGGTTGGTTTTGGGTGGGTTTGGGGTTCGGGTCGTGTTGCTTTAGGATAAGTTTACGGCTGGTTTAGGGTGTGTTAAGGGACGGTGTGTTAGCAAAAGCCAAAAAAAGACAGCCTGGAGCAATCTTGCGGCCTTGGCATCACACACAGCCTGTTTCGAAAGGCACAAGCCAGACACAGGGGACAACATAGCGAAACCATGTGCTTTTTGCGTGTACCCTTTAAGTAACTAATTTCAAGCAGTGTCAAGCATCCCTTTCCCCCCCCCCCCAAACCCACAACATGCCCTCTGCAGCCCACTAAAAGCTGCGCCTGCTGGCGATTCTGCCAGCGGGAGCCGGCCCGATCAAAAATGAAGGGGCCCGCATCGAACCTGAGACGTTGCAAGACAAATCGTGGATGTGGCTCCGAAATTACAGAGCTGCTACGCAGGGTGTTGGTCTTTTGCTTCCAAGGGGCCCAAAAAACAGGCGCCATTCATTTGAGCCACCAAGTGTCTTGGTGCTCAAAGGGCATGAGAAATGGAGTCTCACCCCGGCTGCAACCATCACAACCTTTGTGGTTTCCTTAAAGAGGACCTGCGGAGCGACAGCGAGGGGTTCAAAAAACCTCAGGCCCCGTTTAAAGGACAAATTGGTCGGAGAAAAGCTCAGGTCCTGTCAGGTTCCAATGGGGTAGCCAGTATACTTCTGGTGTAGCTATTGCTCGCCTGCTGCAACAGCTTGTGACTCTTGCTTGCTTGGGGAAATACACTAAGCATCCCCAGAAAACATCGAGGTTTGATTGATCCAACTCAGATGGAACTTACCAGGAGTTGCCCTATGCCCAACTTGTGGAATGCCCGCAGTATGTGGAGCTGAGCCATGGCATGCAGTCGCCGAAACCCGAAGCTCGGGGAAGGAAGAGCCCTACCATCTCCTACTGAGAAGTGTTCTTGGTTTGTCCAAAAGAAAAACCCAAAGGGCGCTGTTTCATCACGTGGCCCTATCCTTGGGGAAACATGCGGCAAACTGATCCAAACGTCGGTACTTGTGGCCCCCTTGATGAAAAGAAACAGGGAAACCTGGTTTCTCGACCCACCTGAGCGCGGTCAAAATATGCTGGTGCCTCACTGGAAACTGGAGACTGAGAGACCCACATTGTTTCTTGTGAGACGTGTATGAAAAATCGAGAGCCACTCATGTCCATCCAAAATTGACTTTAGACGACTGAATTTTTGACCAAGCCTCACCTGAGGTCATGAATCTGGGTCACAGTTACGATTCCTTGACCATTTTCCTTGCAAGGGGATCCTCAAATCAGCTGGCAAGAGTGCCTTGTTCACCTCAAAGAAGATCTGGTCAAAGGTGGAACAACTCTTGGGTGTCAAAAAAAAGCTGTGGGTGTCCTTTTGGTGTCCCAAAAGGCGAGACTTTGGGTACCTTCTCTCTGCCAAACCGCACCGAGAAGCAGCACGTCGGTGACCAGCGCGGAGGCCAGGGCAAAGCAGCTGACCAAAGAGGCGACGTGAGACAGCAGCAAGGTCTTGTCCCGCAACTGGCGGTTTGTTTTTAAATGACAAGGAGCTGTCACTGGATGTGCGGCTCTTTCTCTTGTTTATTATTATTTATTTATTTATTTTTGTTGGGGGGGGTGGGGGAGGTGGGCTTGATTCCTTGTCCATTCTTTGCAAATGTCAAGAAAACATGGGCAAATTCGCAGGCAAACATGCTCCAAAAGAACCTGCCAAGGGTTGCTGCAGATTTCAGAGTTGATCATGCTTTGTGAACGGCAAAAAAGGAGCAATCCAGGTTTTCATAGCCAAGTTGGAACCTCACCCCTTCCGGGTGCCACTATCAGTGGCTTACGTCGCCAAATCTGCAGCTGTAGCAATACTCCCTTAGGACTTCCCAGTGTCAGCAACTTGGTTCGCTCCAAAGACCAGCCAAAGCGCTGAGGATTCAACCGGGGCCGAATGTCAAGGGGTTGCCAAACAAAAAGGACCGCCCATCCCCTTCTTGGCTTCCTTTCGGTTAGGACTGGTGCTTGGACATCTCCGCACATCACAAAAGCCGCTGGTGCGGCCATCCCCTGCTGTGCTCAGCCCTCAAACACGACCACTCAGAGATTATGGATGATTTGGCCGTGACTCCAGCCCATTCACGAAGATACTTGGTCATTTGGGCCTGTCTCAAAATGGACACTAAAACCCCCAAAACCCCTGTTTCGGACAGTCTGTCCCGGATGGGGTCCCTCAATCTGAGGCACGCCCATGTTATGCCCAGGAAAGCCGTGTATCACCATATCCCGGCCTCCGTGTGTTGGAAACCCAAGACCGCCATGTAGACCTCGCAAGCGAGAGACCAGGGGCGAGCGAGCAGCTCTCAGCCAAGGGCATGGCTGACACGTTCAAGCGTTTGCTCTTCTTGTTGTTTTTGGGGGGAGGCTCTCTTTCAGGTTGGTTTAAAGAAACATGAAATGCAAAAATAAGAGAAGAAGAAAAAAAAGAAAACGTATGTTTGATCCCCCATGTTGGCACCCCTTAACCTTTTTGACCAAACGAGGAGTGGACCTGCAGCTTGGAATCCGGTGAGGATACCTACCTTAATTGCCTTCATTGCCGGACCTACGAAAACCTTTTTACCCTTTCGGCGTGGCAATCAAGGGAAAAACGATTCTCCTCAGGTTGAACATAGGTTTCGTATCGTTCAAAGCTCCTAGCTGGTGAAGCAATGGTTGGAGTGAAGGGATCCAGATCGCCGCGGAAAAACACGGGTCCCAGGACGGCGTCCGAAACTTTGCAGCACAAGGCTAGGGGTAGTTTAAACCAAAATGGATTCAACCAAAATGGAGTCAGGGGAAATGGATTCAGGGGAAAAGAAACGAGAGAGAACAACTGTTTTCTGAAACCTGGACAGCCGCCCATGAAACAATCACGCGTCGCTAGTGTGGCGTTGTTGTTCCTTTTCTGTTCAGCCCATGTTACCCTATATTTGAGGCTTGGATAAAAATGCGAAAAGCACCCGTGAAAATTTGCAACATGCACCTGCCAGGTAAGCACACTGAAAACACACATAATAGGTTGATTCCTAACATTGCAAGCGCGCATGAAACTGCGCAGCTTTTACTATCCTAGAAACATGACAAGTGCTTCAAGGACCCTTCTATGGCTTGATTCCTGAAAATCCAACAAATCCATCATTTGAGGCTTCCCCAAAGCACCTAGCAGTACCATTGACGCTCGGCAAGCTCGCCTTGAGGCATTTGAGCATGCCCAGGCGTTGCAGCAAGGCAGCCCACAGCCCGTTCATCAGTGTGCGGAAGCCTGGCGGTGCTTAAGCCAAGGAAACAGCACCCCCCCGCCCGCCCCGGCGAGTGGTCGAAGGTCAAAAATGTGCGTTGTACAATTCTGACGAATTTCGCACCTGTTCAGTGACCCCGACCAATTCTCGACAATCTTGAGTCATGAGAGGTTGAGAGTTCACAAACCGGACAACGGGCCTCCCGTTTCGGACAAATGCCAAGGTCAACACAACACTGCAAGATTCCGCCATGGGAGTTTCTTGGCTCTAAATGTTCCCGGTTGCCATCCTCGACCAAGTTAGCCCTTGACACATGACCCGTGAAAGAACAGCACGAAACAAACATCGCCACCAAAAGAGGATGCCCCTTCTGTACGGAACCACGAGTCTCTGGCACATGCCTCTAGCCCACCCTTCGGGTCCAGAAAAAGCCTTCTAGCCTTCTAGCCTTTTGGAGCGCGCGCGATAAAACAAAAAACAAAAACGGGTACCCTTCCCTTCCTCTGCCATGTGCCATGGCCACTTGAGCTTCAGAGCAGGCTTCCCTTGGATGCGCCTGGGTGCGCCTTGACGGACTTCTGAAAGAGCTTAAAGACCTCGACAAGTCGACATTGAATGGGTGGCAAGAATATGGGGGGTCCCAAAACTGGTGGGTTTTTTCCGTGAGGCTTCCCTCTCAACCAAGGTGAAAAGGGTACCCTCCAAGACCATATATCCAAACTGCGAAGTTGGCTCTAAGAGAAGGTGATCAATTCCAAACAGCTGGTACCTTCAGCTTCCACTCTGAATCTGCGCCCAAAAAGGTTTCGTCCCCTCCAACAAATGGAAACGACAGGAGACGTCCAAGCCGGCACAGCTGCGAGACGCCCGTTCGAACGCAAAAAGGGCGCTGTCACTAGCGGCAAGTCAAATCGAGAACAACGCGCAGTGTTCTGAGTATCGGTTTTTGAAGGGGCTTCAGCTGTTGTACATTTACCCTGCGTGTTTTACAAGAACTCTTGCTTACGAGTTGCACATGCGAGTGCCAAGACGTGTCGACGCGGTGCAGCCACTGTGCCAAAGGCTTGCTGGCAAAGATCTTATAAACCCGTTAGGTCGATGACTTCTTCCAAAATCTGTCCGCTACTAAAGTATATTGAATGGATCTACGTCAGGGCTGCGCTTTTAATGAGGTCGCGTTGTGAGTTTGCCCCGCCTTGCCTGCCCTCGAAGGAAAGACCGGTGCTGCTCATCTAGGGGTGTTCCCTGGGTCGCAAGGCTGCCCCAACAGCGGCCTGTTCGGACCCTCTGGGTGAGTGTATTGAATCTATGGAATGTGGCAGAAGATCGACGAGAAGGAAGCTCTCTCGTCGTGCCCTGAGGGGTTTGCCTGCCTGATTCACGCCATGAACATGCAACATGGCGACGTAAAGCACCCTTGACAAATGACCCGGAATGGTTCAAAATAACACGGTTTTATCCCGGAAATGTGCCTAAATGGGGTTAGTACCCAGCGGGTGTATTCCCAGAGTGTAATACAAAAACCCTTAGAACATCATCCCGGCCAAAGGGCGAGGATAAGGCAAAACTGCAGGTTCACCGTGTCGCTCTCTAACAGCAGCATCGTCAGGAAGTACTCATTAAAACCTGGACGCCAGTGACGGACTCAGTGGCACTTGGCTCTTGCCTAGCTAGCTTTTCTGTCAATGGCTTCAACTAAGTTCATACTGTTGGAAAAGCATCAGACTCTGGACAACTGTGCGCCCAAACCCACCATCCCATTTATATGCGTGTCTCGCATCTTCGAGAGCAGTCGGTTCAAGCATCGGTTTCGGTTTCTGTCCTTGTTGATGAAACTCACCCCGCTCGGCCCAAGAGACCCTGAAATCGCACAGCCAGGAAGCTGCTCGGATACAGGAGACTCAATGTAATCCCTAAGAAAGGAAGCTGATCGGCAACCGGAGCTGCATATTACACGTCTGTTGCATGTACGCGTACGTGTGTATATATATATATATATATATATTATGTATCTACATACATATTCACATACGTATACATATCTTCAGGGGTTGGTTGTCGTCAAAGGAAAAGGCAAAAGGCAACCAACCATTTTAGATTGCTGGGTGCCAAACTTGGGATTTGGTAAGTTCAAACATATCCATCCCTTTCTGGATTTAACACCGAAATCATTTTGGAGCTCCTCATTCTGAGGCAAACTCACCTCAACACCCTGGGCACAATATACCCACTCAAAAGCGGGGTAAAGCGTTGCCCAAGGTGCAAAGTGTGCTCCAAGCAGCTAGGGCGACTTAGCACTGTACAGTGAATAAACTCAGACTTGAACTGCTACAAAATCTGACAATAGGGAAAGGTTGAAAATCACTTGTCAACTCGCAAACATGGAACCCACCAAAGGGGCCGTTTGGAGGAAACGGTCTTCCAGGACCCCCCCTTTTTCAGGTTCCATGTTAGTGGATGAGAGGTACTCCAAACCATGCGAGGGCCAAGAAACGAATGTTTTGGGGGTCCACAGAAACACAACTTGTTTCGTGGCTAGGAGGACCGCCAAATGGTTTGAGCAAAGTACATGACACATCCGCCAGCGTACATTTCTCGCACGCACTTTGGCCGGAATGTCACCAGACCTCCAGCTGTGAAGAGCTCACATGCTGGAACGCAGGGGCTGGACCAAAGTTACCAACAGTTTCCCCCTCTGACTCAAATTGGTCCGCTTTCCGCCTTCGAATCCTTCCCTAACCTTGTCCCAAGCGGCTCGGGGCACCGCGCAACACAGCCAAGTCAGCCAAGCTGCCAGTCAGGATGAAGCGGAGAACGATGACCTCGGAAAGATCCGAAGCGCGGTTTCGGGTTTGGGGTGTGGGGTGTGGGGTGGAGGAGGCACATATATTCAGCTTCCCTCTTGGTTTGGATTTTGGTGTGGTTTGGATTGGTGGTTTCCCATTTAACCTCTGCAAGAACCAGAATTTCAAATCCCAAACCAATCCAAACCACCAACTAGGGGCTACCTGATATATAATCTAGGGTCAACAACACCTCATGGGAAGGGCTTTGTTTTCTTCCTAGATTCGGCGGGCCATCGGAAAGCGCTAAGATGATGCGCTTCACAGGTGCTTTGGTGTGCCCCGCCCGGAGGACGGCCATCGATTTGGCAAGCAAAAACGCGGAGGGAGGTGACTGAGGTGTTAGCAATGGCTGAAACCTTTGCGCGGGAGTTTGCATTAGCTAACAAGTTTGCACCTGTTTTACACCAGCGCCATCAACATCCCCAGCAACGTGTTCAACCCCCCAGCATCACCAAAACCTTGGTTTAGACTCAGTTTGGGGTGGGTACAAGTAGGGTGCGTTTGGGTTTAGTGCTGGTTTAGGGTGGGCTTAGGGTTGAGTTTAGGTGGGTTTATGCTTGGTTTAAAGTTGGTTTGGGTTTGGTTTGGTGATGGTGAAGGGCGAGTTTAGGGGCCCCGTTTTCACAGGCAAAGCAGCAGAACCGGCAACTCTCAAAACCAGAATTTGGCTTTGACTCCTTGAAACAAGTGAATGAAACAACTTTATGTTGGGGAACACACGCTCATGTTCCAAAAGCTCAAAGGTAGAAGCTCAAATGGATTCTACAAGACCCGGAAGCTTACACTAAGGCTGGCTATGTTTAAACAAAAGAGCTCGTGATCATGGGAGACTGATAACGAGCATTCAGCCCCTTCATACATGCAGGCTTACACAGATTTCTGAGCCACATGGAGATGCACCACAATAAGGACCGAAGTGTTGGCTTCCCTGTTTTCCCTTTAGAGCAGCCAGAAATTGAAATATGCTGCTCTGAAAACATGCGCGCACCCATATGCTTTGGTCACGGAGCCCAAACCTGCCGATGCCTTTGAGTCGCCATGGTCAGCGGCTCGGGGGTGGAAGATGGCTAAGTCAGAAAGACTGTCGACATGGTTTCGCCCTTGGATCTTCTCACGCGTGGTTGCTTCCAAAGGTAATGTTTGAACCACCCAAAAACGACCATACAAGAATCCCTGTTTCACAATGGGATCTAAACGTCCATTTGGTGCTGGCCCCAGGAAAGTAGTGATGAATTCCTTTTAAAACCAACAAGGGAAAATATAACATATGTTTAAGCAAATGGAGGTAAAAGGGCACCCGTACCAGTCCAAAGACCACAACTTGGGGTTGGCAAGGAGGTTCGCCCCTTGCGTCCAAGCTGCATCTTCCACGCTGCGGCCGCGCATACAGCCCTTGAGCGTCAGGGAGATGATTTCGAAGACCTGCGAGATGGGCGGCGTTTTGCCGTGACACCAAAAGACCATCACCCATAGGTGGCCTTTTGGAAAAATAGATGGCCCTGGGAATGAAATAAAACCCATCCAAACCAGTGCCATCTGCTGTCTATTTTTGGCCAAACTGACCTAAAAAGGACACCTATGCCATCACCCATTTGCGGTTCTGCCTATGAGACAAAGTCAACAGAAACAAAGCATGCTACTTCTGGAATGAAAAGCAAACTGTTCTGAGCCACTTTGCTTGTTTTCCCCCAAGCCTCGAGCCCCCCACCCGGCCGACTGGTAGAGCAGCGCGCGAACCAACCGGAGATCCCGGCCGGACAAGATCGCCCCGGCCTGGCAGACGGGCGGACGGCCACGCGAATTTTCACCATGAGCACAGATGCCCCGGGGATTTCCAAGGGAGAAAAAGAGCATCTTCTCTTGGTTGCCTTTAAATTATTAAAGGGAAACCCCGCAACCCCAAGAAAAAGTGGACAAAAGGGTTGGTTGACTTTCAAAGGAAACCCGAAACACCAAAAAAAAACAAGTGGACAAACAAATGGGGGCAGCACTGAGCAACTGGCACAAGTGCTGAAATCTGCGCATTGACTGCGGGTTGGTCTAGCCAGGCTCACTCAGCCGGTTGGTGCTGAAACACATGGCGACATTGCTGGATGCCTAGTGACCGCAGCAGAAAATATACTTGGATGTCCACCCCACTTCGCACATGGTTTGACAACCCCAGCTTAGCAAGTCCTTTGACAAATCATGGTCGAAGTGTCGCTTCAGCGGGGCTGTTATCACCAGGACATTACTGTAAATATTGACCGCTCCTATAAATGTTGGCGCAGAAGAGTGTTTTTCTCAGGTGGTTTCTGTTTGGTTTCCCCTTAACACCTGTCCAAAACGGGAACCCCCATGTTGAGAACCCCAATGTTCTCTGAGGTGCCACCAAGCGCAGTGTTGCCCAGGTCCAGTCAAAGAAGAGGTTGAACACCAGGATGACCTCGGCAGGGTGCGGTGCTTTCCCCTTGTGGTCTCCAAAGGGAAAAAGGAACCTGCAGTAACTGGTGTTCTGGTGGCTCGGGGTCTAGTTGTTTGCACTTTTACCAGGCGAGCTCCCAGAGTCGCAAAGTGAGAAGTGAAGGCCAATCTTTGGGGGAGAAACCAAAGGCCCCGAAAGAAACACTCCCGGCACGGGTTCTGGATCCCCCCTCTTTGTAGAAGTCTCCCGGCAGTTTGCTGTTTTTGCTGTGCTAAACAAAGGGTCTGGAGAAAAACTGAAGCATTCGTGATGCCATCCGCTTGTGGTGCTTTTGGGGATAATCCAAACACCTCTTTTTCCCCCCTCCCCCAAGTTCCCACCCCCCAAGTGCCCCCCCCCAAGTCCCCTGAGCGCCCCGGCCCCATAGGTGCGTCCAGCCTCCCCAGAGCAGCGCGTCAGCGCCAAAAGCCTCAAGGCCCCGTCTTCGGGGTAACTCCCCATCGAGTTCCCTGGAGCCATGGTTTAAGCAACCAGCGCTGCAACAACCTCCTTTCAGCTGAGGGAAGGCCGAGGACCACTTCGGAGTTTTGGAGCTTGCAACACCAAATGCCAGGCCGGTGGATTCCATCCTTGCATTTTGGGGGATGGATTTTGGTAGCAAAGACGTGCCTCAGAATGTACTTCACTGAAATACAAATGGATTTCCTTGTTTCTGGAGCGCCCCATGCCTTCATTCACTGAAATCTGCTGAACAGGTGTTGATGTCAGTGCTCCAGCCCAGCTTGGTTGAGCCGTGAACCTCTGAATCTACACCTGTAGACTTGGGTTAAACCGCTCTCGCCGCGCAGACCTATATAGTGGCCTGGCTGGGGTTCCAAAGAGAGTTGTGACAACCAAGTGATGCCGCCAAATGATGAAACGTGCTTGGATGTCCAACCCACTCCACATTGGCAACCCTTGTTGGTAAGCTCAGGAAGAGGATTGCCAACAGGGTAAATCCTGACTACGGGACATCTCAAACAGGGATACGGTCCACTTACGAAGTGGGTGTCATCGCCCTCTAGGGCAAAATGGGTGTGCCTTCGATTCAAATCGCCGGCCGGAAAAATGATTGTCTTCCTTGACTCAACCCCAAGAGGGCGCTGCCGTCCACTAACATAGAAGGTTCCATGTTGGTGGGAAGGAGGACAACCCCAAACCGCATGTTGGGAACATACGTGAGCCAAGGTCAAAATCTGCAATTCCCAGAACCGAGGCACGGCATGCAGCCTGACAGGCGCATCACGTGAGCCCACCACACGTCGGTAACCACCTCCCATTCGGCCGAAATGGTCCCCGCGATGACGCACTAAGCCCAGCTGGTTTTGGGATTCTGGAGCCCGCTTCTGGGGGGCCGCCAACAAGGCTTGGTCTCAAAATGCCCCCCTCCCCACCACCATTTGGGGCGGTTTCCTGCTAGATCAGCTGAGGTTTCTGATGAATACGCCTGCCAGCAAGAGCAAAGCTTGTCAGCTCAGCAGGCTAGATTTGTGACTCCCTCAACAAGCTCGGGGGTTCAAAAAGGGAACCCCTTTCGGTGTGGGAACTTCCTCTTCTGGTGCTTGGCTTCCTCTTGGCATCGTCTTATGAACATGTGTCACAATTGTCGAAGGGCCTACTGTGAGACGGCAAAATATGTGCCTAAGGAAACGAGAGAACCCGGTTCCTTTTGTTTTTCTGCTTGCCAACAAGAAAACGGGTAACCTCCAAAGCAAGAAACAAACCCAAAGATGGCAAAAGAGGTCGAAGTCAAAAAAGGATTTCCTGAGACTTTCCACAAGGGGTCTGGTCAAATGCAAGCCTTGGGTTGGGATTCCCGGAATCTTGCACCACTTAAACGCAAGCCATCCTGCAGTCTAGTAGTCTATGGTTGGTCTGGCAAAATCTGGGAAACCAGGAGGCAAGCTGCGAGGAGCATTTTTTTGCTCGGTCGCCTCTCTTGACATAGCGGTGCGAACGTGATTCTGAGTCACAATCAAAACTTGGTATTAAAATGGTCTACCCAAAACCATACAAAGAATTAAGAAAGCGGCCGCAACTAACTAACCTTCATCTACCCGGGTTTTGATTGTGGCTCATTCTGATTTCAACACTCTCACGAGGCACCTCAGCGTGTTTTTTTTCTCCTGCCATCTCATCGTTTAGGGCGCTCCAGAGACTCTTCTTCTGCCATGGTTGCTCCCCCAAAACCCATCATCCCCTCATAGCCAGGGGTACAACCGGTACCAACAGAAGCCGGGAAGCCGCGCGCCTGGAAGATCCAATAGTCCAGCATGGTAAAGCATAGGCCAAGCGCCATGCAGCCCAATGCCATCCAGTCCACGCCTCGATCCACATCTGTGCACTTTGACTGGGAAGATCGACCATTTGGGCTCTCAGTTTTCTAAGAAGCCCTGCTGGTGCTCGGTTGGGAATCAGCCAGGGTGTTGGGAATGAACCTAGGGATTCCCTGAAAGGAAACAATAGGGGATGCTTTGTAGGGGTCATTCCCTCATTCCCTGCTGAGAACCAGCAATATCTCAGGTTGGGCTTGGTTTGTTTATTAGGGACCCTTTGGTGGACAACATTTAGGTTGAGATGTATGTCCACCAGCCAGTTTAGAAGCGCCCAAAACAAAACCTGGGCATGTAGAACTTCCTGTCGAACTTCCGTGTGCATGATGAGTCCGTGTTCCAGTGGCGCTGGACCAGCCTGGAAAGCCCGGAGTTTGACTACATTGTAATAAGAATAGAAAGATGAGATGGCTGTGGGTCAAAAAAAGGTACCCAAAATGGAACCCTGGCAAATGGAAACACGGACTAAAACGTGCGGTCCCCTGGTGGTATAATTTTAACCCATACCCAGATTGAAAAGAGTGTTGAGCTTTGCTGATTGGAATCGTGCTTAATTGCGCTTCTTGCGCGACCCACTCTGGATGGTGTCAAAGGCAACCCGGGAATGGCACCCATTCTGAACAGTGCCATTCCCACAAAGAAGGGGGGGGTGACCGAAGTAAGCCTAAACCATAATCCGTGGTGGGAAGTCACTGCAAGGGAAACTACCATCCAGGATTGTTGTGAAGAGCCCAGTCAAATCATCATGTGATAGGCATCCAACCCAACAAATCAGCATGCCTCCCCACAAGCCCCCCCCAACCCAAAAATGGCCGCCATTTGACCAAGCCGCGGCCACCGCGGGTTCCCCGGTCGTCCAGCTCCTGCATTGGATTCCACCATAAACTCCAAATGTGTGGAGGAATCGCTGTTGGAAAACCCCAGCCACACGGAAACTCGGGGAATCGGCGCCTTTTTGAAACCAGCTCAAAAAGTGTCAAGTCCAAAGCAATCCAAAGAGCACCTTGGCCACACACACACACACACACATCACACGACGTCGCGAGCCCAACGGCCTGGCTGGCCGGCTTTCGCTGCAGCGCGAAAGTGCACATGATCGGAACCACCAGCAGGCTGTTCAAGTCCTTGGCAGGTGCCACTTGGGTATGAATCTGTTGTGGACACCATGCAAGAATGCGAATATTGATGTCCACCCCAAACGTTTGGGGGTTCCCCACTGTGCAACTCATTGCCACATCCCTGTGCCGCCACAGCCCCGTGCTTCCAAGCAAAGCCCTACTGACGAAAGCTTGGATGCCTCCCACAACGGTGCAGTATGTAATGGCGGCAATATATCAAACGTGTCCCACAGAAAGGGATTCTTACTTAAAAATACACAAAGATACACAAAAATGGCCCCGCAGAGCCCCAGTGGTGAAAATAAATAAATAAAAATCCTCGCACCATTCTCCGCACACCCAACAAGCACGGCCACTGAAACCCCACGCCAAGCTGAGTTCACTGAACGAATTCTGTGGGAATACAAAAATTCAGCGAAATTCCGAACACCTTGAGAAGTCCACAAAAAATTGAGCACCACGCCCTTGGGCGTGGAAAAACATGGAAAGGAATCGTGCATGGCAAGCGGCCTGAGATATCAAAACACGTGTTGCGCAAGCCAAGGGGCCTGCGTGGAGCCCTTTTTCGGCCGAGCCGCGTTGCCCACGGCCCAGAAGATCATCGGCCAGCGCTTGGGCGCTTCGTGCTGCAACCGCGCGGAGCGCTCCCAGAAGAACCAGAAGAGGCGGCAGCCCATGTCCCAAGAAATGCACCACAGCCTTCGCTCGAAGGTTTGATTCCCCATTCTCTTCCAGCTGAGGCTAGCTGTGGGGTGGGTACCCTCAGATATGAGGTACAATCACCCATCCTTCTCTTTGAGATTTCCACCCATTTTCCAGGGTGGCCCATGCTTGAAGAGAATGATGCCGCAAGAGAGGGTACAGCTAGATTCGCGGCTGGGAAGTGCCTTTGGCCTGTTGGCTGAAGGAACCCCTCCAGAGAAACAAAATTAACCGCCCTTGTTCCTGACGGTTCCAATGAAACCTAAAACAGGAGTGGCTCCTTTTTGGAAGTCGGTACTTGCTTGCGTGCTGATTTTAAGTGGGAAACTACTGGGAAACAAATGCCTACAGCCCATGTTCCCAAAGGAACTCGTTGCTGGGTTCCTGATGCCGGTGCCCCCTGAAGGGTTCAATACGACCTCAAAACGATGTGAATTACTCGTTTGGCAGCCAGTGGGCACAAAATAAAAGGCAGTCTGTTTGAAAACTCAAAACGGGGCTCGGTGTGGCAATCAGGTTCTCAAATGCTGGACATCCCAAATGGCTGGATTTTCTTTTGAAACAACACTCTCAAACAGCCCCCCAAACTTTCCTGGAGCCCACGGAGATCGACACGACTGGGCAGCCGTTCATGTAAGGTCCGAAGGAATGGTATTTGTTCATGCGTTCATGGAGCAAGCAAGCAAGCAAGCAAGCAAGCAAGCAAGCAAGCAAGCAAGCAAGCAAATAGAGTTGTGTCCAGTAGTGATAATTCCATTTAAAGCCAACATGGAAAACTAACAAATATCTTTTAAGAAAACAGACAGACAGACAGACGGACAGACATACAGACAGACAGACAGGCAGGCAAGCAGGGGGACAGGCAGGCAGGCAGGCAGGCACGCAGACAGACAAACAAACAGACGGACAGAGAGAAGAAACCAAAAGGATGTCCGTGTTCTGTCGATTTCCGAGCCTGCAAGTCTAATGGCTGTGCAAATGGGCCCTGTGATACCAAAGTAGTCTTCCCACCCCCCGTACTTTAAAGGCTAAAGAGGATTCCCAAGATTCCATTGGCCAGGAAGATCAATCCCAAGAAAGGGTGATTCGCTTCAACTCTTCTAACACATGAAATCATGACTGAACTTGTTGTTCAATTACCCCACAGCTCCATTCTAATCATTCCAGCTTCATACTTTGAGGCACAACATGGCCATGACTTTAAATAAGGAACCTCCTGGAAAGTGGTGGACTGTTTCAACCCCACCAAAATGATGACCACCAGAGGCTCCCCACGTAAAATTCATGCCCATATGGCCATGGGTCAAAATCCAAATCGTACCCCAAGTGAACAGCCCGATCTCCACTAAAATAGATTCTAAAATGGGTGATGCACAAATCCCCCAAACTGGGATCCCATTGGTTTTGACAACCACAGCCAAAATGCTTCCAACAAGGCATGCAACCCTAGGCGCAAAAGACCCTGTACCCTGGTGAACATCAAAAAACGGGTGGTACATGAGTGTACAAATCCCCAAAATGGGATGAAGCCCATTGGTTTGGACAACCACGGCCATATATGACTCACCCCACTTCGGCCGACCGAAGCCCGAGACTCGAGACCCGAGACCCGACTTCCCGATGAAAGCCCAGGCGCAGCAGCAGGCAGGTGAGCAGCCGCGACACCGAGCTCAGGCGCCAGGGCAAAATCACCTCCTCGGTGCGTCCCAAATAAAACAGGGATCCGGATGCATTATACACCTGAACATTGCAACTTGTAAATGGTGGTTTCCAACTTTATTTTGGTGTTGAAAAAGCAACATGTGTCAAATGGTGGCAAAATGGAGATCTTTTCCTGTAAAAACGAGGTGGAAAGTCGATGCCACAAATGGGTGTGGGTCAAAAATTGGTACCCAAAAATAGCTTGCCCTGGTAAATGGAAAAAAGGACTCAAACCTGCGGTCCCTGGTGGTTGAATTTTGACCCATGCCACAAATCCGGTTCTGGCAATGGAGATGACCAAACCAACATGATGTACCTTCCATGCATTACTTCGGGAACTTCAGGCGACCTCTGCTCTGCAACGCCTCGCTTGACCATTTCTTCATGCCCCAGGTGCGTTGCGGCCATTCATCAGCAACCCCCCCAAGACCTAGGGAGAACTTCCAAAGGCAAAGTCGCCCAGAGATTCTGCAATCACTTCGGCTGCCAAGCATCGCTGTAGAAGCCAAAGCAACATGAGTAGATGTTGGCGATTATGTACCACGCGCTCAACAAGTGGTGTTCGGAGATGTAGTTCGAATTGAGCCTGGGCGAATGCTCGGCGAAGCCAAGTGAGATGAATGCAGTGAGCCATCGCGTTCTTGGTGAGGTCACCAATCTTTCGGTGACATGCTTTGAGTACCCATGGTGTCTCTAACTTCCAAGATGAAAGGCTCAGAGTTTGTCTGGGTGAATCATAATCTTCACCAACCTGAATAAAGGGTTGCTCAAGGAAGAAACCTTCCTGGGCAGGGCCGAAAACTGAATCCCTGTGTGAGGGCAAGCCATTTACCAGCTACTTTGGCGAGATATGTGCACGGGGATGTCCAAGAAACAAATACACCCGAAAAGCATTGGGGGCTTAAAGGGAAGAGGACACCGACCATTGATCCAATCCCTTCTTTAGGACAAGCACAATATGGGCCACAGTCAAACTGCGCAGTCGCCCAAATAGGGGCATGGGTCCCCCATATCCCGCACCCCAATTTTGCAGCTGCTGATGCTTTGACCGAACCTCATATTTCTGCACAGATTACAAAAAGTATCACAAACTGAAAGAATCGGCCCTGCACACCCCTACGAGGGAAATCTTCATCATAAGGTCTCTCACACACACACACACAATGTGACACCTTCTGTCGTTTTCACCTGCGCGGGGCCCAGAAACCCGTCCAAGGGCCGGACCGCTCAAAGCACAGGTCGCTGCAGCTGATGACGGCCTAGGTGAGCTGCTTCTGAGAACCAACTGCGGGCGTGGTTGAGAGAACCTTCTTGGAGGTTGGTTTAAAAGAGTGAGTGCAGCGGAGCGGAGCGGAGTGGAGTGGAGTGGAGTGGAGTGGAGTGGAGTGGAGTGGAGTGGGGTGGGGTGGGTGGAGTGGAGTGGAGTGGAGTGGAGTGGAGTGGAGTGGGGTGGGGTGGGGTGGGGTGCCGTGCGGTGTGGTTGGGTGGGGTGTGGGTATGGGTGTGGGTGTGGGTGTGGGTGTGGGTGTGGGTGTGGGTGTGGGTGTGGGTGTGGGTGTGGGTGTGGGTGTGGGTGTGGTGGGGCGGAGTAGAGTGGAGTGGAGTGGAGTGGAGTGGGGTGGAGTGGAGTGGAGTGGAGTGTGGTGGAGTGGAGTGGAGTGGAGTGGAGTGGAGTGGAGTGGAGTGGAGTGGAGTGGAGTGGAGTGGAGTGGAGTGGAGTGGAGTGGAGTGGAGTGGAGTGGAGTGGAGTGGAGTGGAGTGGAGTGGAGTGGAGTGGAGTGGAGTGGAGTGGAGTGGAGTGGAGTGGAGTGGAGTGGAGTGGAGTGGAGTGGAGTGGAGTGGTGGAGTGAGTGGAGTGAGTGGAGTGAGTGGAGTGAGTGGAGTGGTGGAGTGGTGGAGTGAGTGGAGTGAGTGAGTGGAGTGGAGTGGAGTGGGTGGAGTGGGTGGTGGGTGGGTGGAGTGGAGTGAGTGAGTGAGTGGTGAGTGAGTGAGTGAGTGAGTGAGTGAGTGAGTGAGTGAGTGAGTGAGTGAGTGAGTGAGTGAGAGGGAGGGAGGGAGGGAGGGAGGGAGGGAGTGAGTGAGTGAGTGAGTGAGGTGTGAGGTGAGGTGAGGTGAGGTGAGATGAGGTGAGGTGAGGTGAGGTGAGGTGAGGTGAGTGAGTTGTGAGGTGAGTTGTGAGGTGAGGTGAGGTGAGGTGAGGTGAGGTGAGGTGAGTGAGTGAGTGAGTGGTCGACCAAGGCTCCAACGAAGCCTGGCCCAGGACAACCCGCAAGCAAAACCGCAATTGGTTGAAAAAGAAACCCACAAGGGCAACCACCAGGTCGAGGGGACTATTTTGACACATCCCAAAATCCAAGATGGCTTCCACTAGCACTAGCCCCAAAGAACTCTCTCTGGGCCCGCGGGAGGTTGAATGGGATTGACCACCATGTAGCGGCATATACTCCCCGTTTTCCTCGTGGCTTGGAGGTGGAGACATCACCCTTTCGGCATCTGATCACTTGGCTGGAGCTGAAAGCTTCCCCCAACACCCACAGGTGGCCATGGGTCAAGATCCAAACTTCGTACCCCCGGTGAACATCCCAATCCCCACCAAACTAGGTCCTAACATGGGCGATGCATTCACCAGTCCCCCCAAAATGGGATCCGATCCCAAAACGGCTTTGAGCACCGCCAGGCATCTGGTGGGACTCGTGGGAGAGTCCATCGGCCTGGCAGTAGCCGCAAAACCCGAGTCTTCTGAGGCAGCTGGCCATGGCCACGATGAAGGGCAGCAGCGGTTGCCACAGGGCGCCTCAGAGTGTGGAGCCATTGCTCCAACGGCCTCCCCAAACCGACTCAACCCAAGCAGACAAGAAACCTTTCGTGGGTGTTTTTGTTCGACCCCACGGGTCGGTGAGGTCGCAGGTGAATCAAAAGACGAGAGACCTTTTTAAGAGGAGCCTTCTTCCTGGGGTAGGTTGCAAACCCAAGTGATGGACAGCATTTGCACGGGGCCCTTTGTCTGATCAGGCCTTTCCTCCGAAAATGCGGGAATGTTGACCGCAGATGAATCAACCTGCCGGAATTGCACTTGGGTTGTCTGTTGCCCAACAAATGCGCAGGATACCTCCATCTCAATGAACCCGGGTGTCACCATAAATCCTGCCCCAGTGGTGGGTCTCCCATGCCAATTCGCCTGCAGGCATCCCTTGCTCCCGCCCCTCCAAATCCAGCAGAAGGCGCGGAGCAGGGCGAAGGGCCCAAGGCTCACCTCCTCCGCACACAAGGCCTGGCTGGCCTGCGTATGGGGGGCACCATGGGGGTGGAAAGTGGACATTCAAATTTATTCAAAACAAGTGCCAAGAGGTGTGAGGATCCAAGCCAAGAGGTGAAAGGAACAACCAAGAGGTGTAGGGATTCAAACCAAGAGGTGTAAGGAAGTCATGTCCGAAGCGTGGCAACATTTGGAGGGTAACTGCCCTGCAACCTCTTTGGAGGGTCCCTGTCCAGAAAGATATGGATTAGAGAAAGATGACCGTGATGCCCTTCAACTAGGTTGTTATAGCCCCTTATTTTTATTTTTATGGGGTTAGGCCATAGGCGGCTCCTCAAGCTGGCAACCCATGCCTTCACAAGGACTTCGCAAACGAAGACTTAGCCAGCTACATCGAGCTGACCCTCGAGCAACTCGCGTACAAAAACATATTCGATCCGACCCCTTTTTGTAGAGAATTTCAACCTCTTGGCTCTAAGAGGGTTTCCACTCCCTCTCACTACCCTCGAGGAACCATGCGGCGTACCAGTCTGTAACCACTATGTAAAGGCCCGCAAGATTGCTGGGGTATCAGTGTTGGGTGTGTTTCTATCGTTGTTTGGTGGCGATATTGTCGGGTATAAACATGAAGAGTCCACATTTTCCATGGGTGGAGGTTTGGGACATGCGTCCATGCCTGCGAGCTTTGGCCGGAAGACCAGACACTTATCAATGCCCTGGAACATTTTCTTCAACTCATGTGGAAGCTGGGATGGGACCGCTCCTGAAATGGCAAGCATTCTTTCATTCATGGGACGGCACCTGGCGCCTGTGCCAAAGCTTGGTCACCATTGCATCGCTGTGCTTTTTGACATCCTTGTCAAAGTACACACTGTTGCCCCCCCCCCCCGGGCCCCACTCCGCCCCCGTAGCAGAAATGGGGGCTTGCCCATCCAATTAAGGTTCTCATCACAAGGGATGCATCAAATCAGGGCCACAGAACAACCCAAAAAAATCAGAGCTGACTACAACTCACAAGCCCAAAATCAGGAATCCCCAAGCCAGGAACCGTCACCGGCTTTCCGTCGACCCAGAAAAACCCTTGTGAGGTTGCCATGGCCGGAAGCGTTCTGACCATTGAAAGGGGCGGAGGTTGAAACGGAATCCACGAATCTGGGATACAACAAAAAGGGGCCTAATCCCAAAGACTATCTCCCCCTTAGTATCGCAGAAGTGGTTGGATAAACCCCGAGTGATCCCACAACCATGATTCAAAAGGGATCCTTTTCAATTCAGAAACCGGCGAGTTAAACATCCAAAAGTGTCAATGCAACCTGTCGTCTCTACACCCTGCCCTCTCCTTGGTCAGGTCGCCCGAATCTGCCCCAAAAAGACCACCCTCAATTCCCCTCTTCCCCGCAGCAAACTCCACGCCGCCTCCCGTTGGCGCCAACATCTGGACGGAAGCCATGATGGCGCCATGGCGTCTTTCACGCATGGAACCAAGCATTCACAACGGCGACAGGGTCAATCCGCCAATCCTGAGGTTTCGTTCCAGCAGGTTGGGGATACTTCTTGGCCGTATTGACACCAGCAAAGAAACCGAACCGGAAGCCTCTTTCAACAATCCTGACATGGCCCGAAAGCAAAGCTTTTGAATTCCGCAGCTTCAGCTGTTACAGCATCTTTGAAAACACCTGCATATCAAGCGCTGGGGCTCTTTTGCAAGGAACCGCCCCAGCAATCCGGGACATGACATTGCATACCCACAGTTTTCACTGGCTGCACCCCAGGCTCAAACCACAAACTCCCACCCTTAAGCCGTGGGCGCGTGGCTCGCGGGCGGCAAGCAAAGGGCTGATCCTCTCCCAGTGACTTTGAAAGAAACAGGGACAATCAAACGACCTTGAGCAATGAAAGATGTCCAAATCGAGGTGAACAACGTAAAGAAGAGAGGGCCCCCTTTTGAGTATGATTTTGAGTATGAAGCCTTTACTTTTCGGAGCACTAGCTATCAACGAGGCCGAAAATCGCGGACTGGAGCCTCTCCTTTGGGATGCTACGCACGTGGGATAAATCAATCATTTTCATGGTTCCATATTTGGGTGTCATTTTGAGGATACCAATTTGCTGTGGTTTTACACGGAAACCGAAAGGGGAAGTGGCTGTTGGAATTCGCATCAAAGCAGTGGAAACCGTGTTCCCCAACCCTCGTCAGCACTCCATTTGGCAAATAACCAATCGCCTCCTGGTTTGCCACGAACAAAAATCGCAGAGACCACCTCTATGGGCCATTTCGCTTCCGCCAAATAAAGATCCACCGCGTCGCCTCCCTCCCTCTCTGAGGCCCTGTCCCCCTCCACAGCCCGCAGCATGCGAGTCACCTTAGGTCCACGTGTGGCTGATGCTCGGCTTATGCAACGGTAACCCGTCATGGCCTGCCAGATTGCCCAGGAGTGCTAGCTATAGCATCTAAAACGGTTGGGCAGGCAGCATATATATTTCAAAGGGGCCCCCCCTTCATCGAAGATCACCTCACATTGAGAGAGAGAGAGAGTGAGAGTGAGAAATGGCGTGTTGAATCACTGAATCAGCTAAGATAATACCGTTGAACATAGCAAGAACACGCTTGCCTGACAGTTGAAGAAGTCTTCCGCCCAGACAATGCCAATCAACGAAATTAGGCTGGAATATCAAACCAATTCATGAAATCATTATCGGTGGCACATATTGTATCATGTGTGTGTGTGTGTTTGTTTGTTTTTTTCAAAAATTAAACCCAATGAATGTGTTCCTAAACTTTTGAACCCTCAAAATGCTTTCCGCATGTCGCTTTGCTTCGAAAGGGACGAAACAAAAGCGTTGGGAAGCGAAGCGGAACGGAGATGTCTAGCCAACCTGGCGGCCTTGGTCAACTATCAAACCATTGGAATTATTTCCAAACAGAAACTCGCTTGCTTCCCTCAGAAGCAATGGACTTGTTTTATACTCTTCCGAACTCTGCACGATCTATGTCCCTTCCTTCCCTCAGAAGCTATGGATTCGTTAAAAAATCTTCTGAATTATGCCCCTTCAAAGAAACCTGCGGTTTCCCCTCCCCACCCCCCCCCCTCCGCGGTTTCCCGCGCAGTCTCGTTGCTGGCCGCGGCGCGTTGCTGCGCTGCAAGAAGGAAGCAGCTGACCCGGAGCCGAGGGCCTAGCAAGAGCGGCGCGTAACCCGCCTAAAAAACGGGGTGCATGGTTGCTGTTCTTCCATTTGCTGAAGCCCCCTGGAAAAAAATGAAAATGTGTCCAGTAGTGATAGATTCCCTTTAAAACCAACAGGGGAAAATTATACTTGTTAATAATAATAATGGATTCTTAACAAAAATGGAAGTTTTCGGGAAAACGCTCTCGATCACAAATGAGCCAGTGCACTGAGCCTTTGTCCGAATCTCCGAGTTGGCTGTTGTTGGGATATTTCATGAGTTCCAGATGTCCCCTCCCAAATGGGCCACCGAGAAATCCGGAAATTGCCACTGAAGCTTCTCTTCTATCTGGGCCCCGCGCCGCAGTCGCAGAGTCAATGCTTTGCACCACCTCAGTCGCGGGTGGCTGACAGCGGCTTTTCAGGGCGCCAACATATTGAACGTCCCCCGAATTTGACGCATGCCCACATCTGCTCAAAGGTTGTGCAAACGTCCCAAGTGGCAGAATGGTGCAAGCTGCACAGTGGCAAACTAAAAAACGGACCCAGAACTTTTGGTCCATTCTGTTGTTTGGGTGCAGCTGAAAAGCGAGACACGGAAGCATCTGGATTGTCCCGCCTCCTCCTCCTCAGTGACTTCCTTCACAAAGACACCGTGCTCCTGCGGGCATTCACTGGCTGGGCCGGCGCCCAACGAAGAAAAAAAATGTATGTAAGCTAACCAAACGGCACCACACATGCAAGCGATAACTCTTTTATCCAAGCAATGTGTTGGTGCCAGGGACTCATCTTCCCCTGTCAGATGTCTAAGGCTGGGTGGGCCCCATGGGCCACCCACCACAAACTCTCAAAAACTGAAGAACGGGTGTGCAGACTGATAGCGCCCGCCCCTGGGCCGGGGCCCGGGGCACCCAGGCCACAGGGGGGTCTGCCACCAGGGGAAGTGAGTCACCCACCGGCTCCGGTCACGGGAGCATGGGTGGGCCCACGCTAAGATCAAATGCATCTCCATTCAGGAGACGCGGGAGAAAAATGAACTCCTCGCAGAGTTCCTGTTTAGGGACTCTGTGCAAAGGGTCGAATCCAGAGAAATCTGGGTGCGTCAGCTCATCGGCCCACTGGTTGAATTCCCGGGGCACGTGGTTGGCCGCCAGCGAGCAGCCATGGGTGTGGAGCAGGAAGACCAGCTCCATCAGGATAGCCGCGGTGTAGGGCTTCTTGGATCCAAGGTTGAGCATCGCCATGACGTTGCCCTGATTGTCACTGCCCACCGGGAGTCGGACCCGGGAGGACAGAGGGCCTTGGTGCGTGAGGATCATGTTACAGAGGAAGAGTGTACCCAGCATTTCCAGAGCCGCAATCCTCCGCTTGGGATCCCCATTCTTGAATGCCCACGGGTACTCCTCCACGTGGATCTGCTCGTGGAACCAGTACACCTCCTTCTTTTAGGGCTCCATTTTGTTGGCGCACGAACCTCCCACAAATGAGAGTCCCTCATGAGAGGCGCTAGCATCGCTGCAACCCCACCAAGAGGACTTCGGCAAGTAAGGGGAGTACTGGACGAAGGGCGTGTTGAAGAGGAACCGCAGCATGAACGCCAGCATCCTGACCACCTTAGGGGGTTTCCCCAAGGTGGTGGTGGCCATTTTCCAGGCCCACAGCGGCTGAAGCATCGACTTCGCCAGCGGACATGCAGCAGTTAGTTGCCCATTGGATGCGGCCCAGGGCCTTCTCGATGTCCTTGGAGTGCATCGCCTGCCCTTCCACCATGATCTGCAAGACCTCCATCACCAGGATGTGTTTGTTGGCGGCCATGAGAACCTGCGGGATGTTCGGGTGGACCACGAAGCCCAGCCACGTGTTGACCTCCGCCAAATGTGTCTTCTTCCAGCTAAGCGGGGTGCCCAAGGCCAGGAGTGTTGCCAACAGCGCCACCGCCAAGTTTACTGCCCCCTCGCTGCGAAGCAGCCACAGGAAGTCATCCACAAAGACGAAGTTCCAATCCACTTGAGGGAAAAGTGCGTAGAGGACCCTGAGTAGAAGGGCTGCCAGGCGTCCCCAGTAGGATTGGGCACTGGCCATGCCGTAAGTGCCTACCTTGTTCACCCACCATTCTTCCCCCAGTGAGGCCACCTGGAACCGCCAGTCCTTCCTGAGGACCTTCCAGCCCTCGGGTGGAGGTTTGGCGACCCCCCACCCTGAAAAAGGGGGGTCCCTCCTCAGCTGCCGCATGTAGCCAATGAAGAGCTTGTACCCCATCCAGCACCGTCGGAGCCGTCGTCCTTTCCACCGTCTGGTTCCTGACCGCCCACCGAGCCATCGTAGATGGTGCGGATCTTGTCCCCTTCGTCGATGCCCGCTAGGGGGCCTGGGCAAAGATCCTCCACATTGCAGCCACAGCGCGCTGCTGCCTCTACCTTGGTGAGAGGGCCATCTACCATGCCCATGGGGACCTCCTCCAGGAATGTGCTCCTCCTCTGCTTTGAGCTCCTTCTTGAGTGGCCAGATGCCCGGCGAGGCTAGGGGTGGGTCCGTGACCCCCAGTAGGACCCCTTGTTCCAGATCGCGAGGAAACTGGTGGTCGGGGTCCTGAATGTTCAGCGCCAGGCTGTGCAAGATGTCCAGGAAGAAGGGTTGGCCTTCCGCTGGTCGGCCTGCCCCTGGCGCCAGGATCTCCCTGATATCTTCCAGCAGGTCGTCCGGGAAGGGGTGTGACCCGTCCCCCAAAGAGAGCGACTCCTGGAGTTTGTCCCCCCATGGCGACGTGAGGACACAGATCTTGGCCCATCGCTGCTGCTTTGGACAGTGGCCGAGTCCACGGGGCCAGCCGTCCAAGTGAGGGCTTCCCACCCCCGTCCCTGAGGGGGCGCTGTTTGAAGGCCATCTGGAGGTACATCACCTTGTCGGAGAGATTTTGGGTCGTGCGTGATCGGCAGGGTGGTGGGCCAATCCGAGATCTCCATGCAATGGCGTGCCCATGGCTGAAGGGGAAGAGTTTCACCCCGTAGTTCGACCTCCCTGCCCGCCGGCTGTGTTGGTGTCCGGACCTCAGGATTGTCCGAGGCCGAGACCGGACGTGAGCCCAAGGTCAGTCCCGCCAGCGCTTGTTGGCCGGCCTTCAGCCTCAGGGACTGGCGCTTGTTGTCCCCTGGCGTGCGGGGAGATGGTTCCCTCTGCCGCCTCGGGGGGGTCGTTGGGTTCACTTGGGGCACCGTGCCCCCCGGCCTCAGCGCCTCCAGGACGGGTCCCGCTCTGCAAAGGATGGCCGCTGCGAGGCCCTGCATCATCTGCTCTGGGTACCGGCTGAGGTCACTGGAGTGGAGCTTTTCCCCCCTACCAC